CTACACCCTTATCCCGAGTCCCTGGCTCTCCCTTCCTAGTCACAGGTGTGGTCCCCTCTGAAGTGTCAGGAGCAGCTCCGGGAAAGCAGACTGTGTAAGAGTGAGCGCACACACAGGGACTCTGCTCTCTCCACAGGATTACATACTGCTGACCATTCCCGAGTAGCTGCTTTGCCAAGGCCCAGTCCCTGCCCCAGCTGCACATGCTCAAGCCCCCAGAGTCCATGATCAGCATCAGTCCCAGTGGAGTTCTCAGCTGTAATAAAGATGTTTCCTCTGAGTCTGGGTCTGAGTTTGCTGTGTTTCCTGCCAGCTGGGAAGCAGCCTTGAAATGTTTAAATGAAGGGCATCTTTCCCAGCTCTAGTTCTCCTGTGACCTTCAGGAAAGTTCTGTGCTCTGTCCTCGGTGGAAGGAAAGACAGAGAGTAGCGATTCACACCTGTCAGCTCAGAACGATGGAGCCTGACAGGGACAGGAACTGTCATGTGTTTGAGCAAGCCTAGGCTACAGAGTGAGTTCCATGTCAGTCCAGGCTAGACGGAGACCCGGCCAAAAAGGGGGAAGGGTGAGAGAAAAGAGAAAAATAAAAAGGACAAAAGCCTTTTGACTCTCCAAAGATCAGGCCCTGCAAGGATGGCATCTAGGAAGGATGCCGAGTCTGTACGCCCAGTAAAGTTTCTCTAGTCAAGAAGGAAGACAGAAGGAAGATGAAGAAGTGGGGGTGGCAGGAGGGGGACCCTCAGGAGCCCAGGGACATTCTGGAGGCCTTGGGTGCAAAGGAACAGGGCAGAGGGAAGTAGAGAACCGGCAAGGTGGCTATTTCCGTAGATTTTCCCCTTTAATCCCTTTTCATCTGTTGTGTTACATGACTTCCTTGTCAAAGGTATGGGATCTGAGTTGCATCTCTGGCCCTGCAGCACGACTATCTGGCTGCTGGGGGGTTCATACGTTACTGTCTACTGAGAGGCTTTCTGCTAATGAACAAAGACACACCAATGCCCTCTCCATCAAGGGTTCATCCAAACGGGCCTCGCGATCCCGTTAAAACATGAGGAAAGCGGGGCCCTTGAGGATAACAGAGGCTTTCTAGCCTCAGACAGGCTTAATTCAGGAGTTCCGGTGCTGGTAGCTAGGAGTCAGGGAAAAGTCCTTCCACTGAGTCATGGCCCCAGACTCTTTCTACCAAATTCAAAAATGAATGTCATGGACCATGAGGAGGATGAGTTTTTAGAAATAAGTTCATTATAGGTTCACAGGTGAAAGCTTCAGAGAGAGGAAGCAAGCCAAGCTCCTGAGTAGCAAGAGGAGGTCCTGGGGATGGGGTGCCATTAAGCTGCTAGTTTGGGGACTTTTTATATGACTTATGGCAGAAAATGGGTCGTGGGGGTTGGTTGGCCGAGTTGTCCCACCCATTAGGTATCCGTGTGCCTCTCCATCCTAAGGTATCTGGACTGGTGTTTTGGTCACACCCTCACCTACAGTTTCCAGGCAGCTGTATAAATGGAGAAGAAAGATAACAAGAAATCAGAGCAGGAACTAGAGCCCCAAAACACTGCTGGTATTTCTGACCTCCGGCCAGGACTGACCCATTTCTATCTTCTCTTCCCATCATCCCCTCAGAAGCAGTGATCCTAACTGCCATGAGGAAACGGGGCTGGGGGTGGTGACTGGTCTCCTTGCTGAGCAGGGCTAAGGGAATGGCAGTCAGGGAACCTCTCCAGTGGTCCTGTCTAAGAGACCTTGAAAGTGCTTCCATGGTATCGTTTGTGTATCAGCCAGGTGAAGTGAGGAAAGGAAGCCCTTGGTTATTGGTGAAATTATTAAGGCAACTCCAGGTAGTTAAAAGGGAGGTTTATTTTGTGGGGTAACTTACAAGTGAATGGATAGGTTACAGGGTCTGGGACAGGTGTAGTGCAGTCTGGCGGTGTTCTCTGGAGAACTCTGCTCGGTCTCCCTCCAGCGTCCAGGGTCCAGGAACCAAGAGAGCCGGTGCAACCAGATCTCGGGTCTTTATCGTCCCTTCTCGGCCCCACCTTGTAGGCGTGATAGTTACCGAAGTCTCAGTAGGGGTTGGAACTTCCAGGTCAAAGCTGGAATGGCTACCCACTACACTTGGTGCCTGGACAGTGATGTGAAAGAGAAAGTATAAGGAAAGCAAAGAGTTAGAAAAGTGGTATGGGAGCCCTCTGAGCCTAAAAAATTATTCCACTCCACTGGAAACAGACGGAATCTCCAACAAAAGCTTAACATTCTGGGTCCCAAGGGAACCAGGAAAAAGGCAGAACAGAGGAGATTTTTCAGTGTCTGAATCGGGAGCTAGAGATGCAGCTCAGTGACTGAGAGCATGTGATGCTCCGTCATGAGGACCAGAGCTTGGACTCCAGCACCCACACTGCCTGGTTCACAAACACCTGTAACTTCGGCTCCAAGGGACCGAACGCCCTATTCTGGACTCAGTGGACACCTGCACATGCATACACATACACACAGGCACCACACCCATGCACAAAAATAAAACAAATCTTTAAAAGAATAAAATGAAATGTCTGAATGAAAGCCCATAGGCTTACCAGAGCATCCACCTACGTCTGGCTTACTGGGCCTCTGCTCAGGCCCTTCCTTCTCGGGCCTTCAAGGGTTGACTCAAGAGCAACAAACCCAGCCGGGACTGGCCTTCAGGCACTGTGGAGCTGTTAGAGTGGCTAGAATCACTGCATGAGGCCCCTCTGAAGCGACTCTTGGGGAGAAAGACAAGAGACTTAACCCTCGGTGACCTTCAGGTTGGAGCAACAGTGAGCCTGTCTCTGGGCTACAGGTCCTATGGAGGCACAGAGTGCTGAAAGTGAACCGCAGTCCTGCGTCTGGGTAATGGTTTCTTTCTTTCTTTTTCTTTCCTTCTTTGGTTTTTCAAGGCAGGGTTTCTCTGTGTAGCCCTGGTGCCCTGGAACTCACTCTGTAGACCAGGCTGGCCTTGAACTCAGAGATCTGCCTGCCTCTGCTGGGAATAAAGGTAATCACCACCATACCCAGAGGGGGCTGCAGTTTCTCACCAAGCTTATAACATCTCATGTGGACTTAAGCCTAATATCTAGGGAGTGTGATCATTTGAACTGTTTAAAAAAAAATTCTAATCATTTTAGTTTGTGGCTATACTTTTCAGTTAGGTGTTCAAGACTGTATAGATGGCCAATAAAGCTGTATATTTCCAGCTTTATTAAGGCCGGAGGGTCTGGTCCTCAGAGAGTTACTTGGGACTCGGGAGGCCTCTGGTTCTTCTGATCTTTCTTTTACCCATTGTGCCATTTTCTGGGTGAGTTTGGTTTTTTTTTTTTTTCTGACCCTGTGGCTTCTTTTAGACTCATTGAAGACTTTGCCCTCTTTCCAGGATGTGGACTGCAGAGAGTCTAACCTCTGGGTCTCTGCAGCCTCTCAGACAAGAGGACAGATGACTTGGCAGAGCTGCGGGGCTCTCTGAGAGGTGTCCTGTGTTCGTCTGGAACTGATGACCTTGGATGGCAAGTGCCACAACACAGGCTGCGCTTTCAGTCCCTCCGTCTGCACCGAGGTGGAATTGCAGGCGTGGTTACCGGACACCCAGCAGCTGGGTCACCTCAGTTTTGAAGAACAAATTGTGCTTTAAAATTTAGGTACCATGCAAAGACAAAGGACATAAGGCAAAGACAGAGGACTAAGTAGTTTTAAATGAATCTGGATTGGACATACATGCTTTGTTCTCTAAGCCAATTTTTGTAAGTGTTGCCAAGAGAAGACCAATAACTTAAGAGAATTCTATTGACTGACATTGAGGTTTGCCATGGATGCACTAAACTTTGAGATTAGATAGTTTAATATCCTTTAATCCTATATATATGACTATGATATATGATAGATATATCTATAAACCTCCTGTGATTTACATCAGCCTTCTATGACCTAAGTTCCCTCTACCACATAGAAACCTTTTTTTGAGGCAGGAGATGGTGGCACACACCTTTAATCCCAGCACTTGGGAGGCAGAGCCAGGCGGATCTCTGTGGGTTGGAGGCCAGCCTGGGCTACAAGCACCAAAACTGCACAAAGAAATCCTGTCTCAAAAAAGAAAGAAAGAAAGGAAGGAAGGAAGGGAGGAAGGGAGGGAGGGAGGGAGGGAGGGAGGGAGGAAGGAAGAGGAAAAAGAAACCCTTCTTTGCTAAAATATCTTTCTGCTGACATCCTTCTAACATTTTCTTCCCCTAATTAGTGGTTCCCTTTCACTTTATGTCCTTTCTAATTGTCATGTGATATGGTCACATTAACAAATAATGATCTTGTCTGATTTTTTAAAGATTTGAATCAAACTACACACACATTATAATATAATAAATTAAAATTACTTGTCTATACATTGTTAAACTGTAAGGTTTATGTCTGTTGCACGTTCCCAGGCAGACTTCATCACCACTTAGATCCATCAGGGCCAGCCATCACTGCCTGTGGTACTGTGGTACTGTGGTACTGTGGTACTGTGGTACTGGATCCATCAGGACAAGCCATCACCACCTGTGGTACTGTGGTACTGTGGTACTGTGGTACTGTGGTACTGGATCCATCAGGACAAGCCATCACCACCTGTGGTACTGTGCACTGGAGATGTGGATAGAAAAGAACAGAAAAAAAAATGGTCTTATCCCTTCCCGGGGTGATTTTCCTTCTCTCTGGGAGCTTCCTAGTCCAGTCTTCCCCCTTCTCTCTGCTCCCCACTCCTTTTTCCAAGACCCGGCACTAGCATTTGTCTCCTGGCCCATGGCCCTCCACATGGGTGCCCTGTCCAGACCTGCCTGCAGGACTGCATACAGGAACCAGTCTCTGCTCCTCACGGAAAGAAGTCATTATGCTTCCACCACAAATCGCCACTCCCTCCACCCTACCCCTTCTTTGCTGCCGACACGTGGACAAAGTAAAACTGGCTTTCAAACCAAGTCCAGACAAAACCCACAAAGAAGTCCCTCATTCTCTAGCCCGCAGAAACGCCTCCGGCCGTACCTCTTTCTTGTCCTCTCAGCACCCCAAGAAGCCACACTCCAAAGACATAAATCTTTGACCAATCCTTGCTTTCCCCACCCACCTGCAGCACAGTTCTTAGCCAAGCCACAAAAGACAAGTTATTTTGGAGGGAAGAGGAGGAGGACGTAAAAACACTCAGGTGGCAGAATTCCCCCATCCTGCACAAGTAAGCACCCCTAAAAACTTAAGAAACTACTCAAAACCCTCCGCTCTATCCTTTGGCTCTCTCAATGGTCG